AATTCAGTCCTTCATTTTGAGTGGCTTGGTGTGAAATGGTTCAGATTTCTTTACAGTGGTGGTGACAGGAACCGGGGGTCTACATAGATCTTACCATCTTTTTTAAAAGTATATACAATAGAAGGAGAAGGATCCTTTTTGGTGCTATATAGAACTATAGACAAGAACTATTTTAACCATTTCAGCATGTAATGAGTTAAAATAGATCTCACAGTCCTAAACAGAACAATTACCTTTACTAAAGAACCCTTGAAGAACCTCTTTTTTTAAGAGTGTTGAAAAAATGAGCATTTTATTTTTAAGTAAGTACACTTTGTTACCATGACATCCCCACATCATTACCCACTTATTCACGATCTGTACAGTAAAGAGTACCAACTTTTTCCAACAAGTGAATCTGTTCTAATGTGGAACTGACAGAAACAGCCTTTATAATAATGCTATAAGCCTTTATAAATGTTCATACAGGAGTCAGGAATGCTGGCCTTCAGTAGTGCTACTATTGCAACTGTGAATTCCCGTCTATTAAGGACGTGTAGCATAGCGAAGGCATTTTTAAGCTAAAGCTTGCATTTAAGACATGAATAAAAGCGTTTGACAACACCGTCACATGGCTGTATATAGTAGTGGCTTATATGCACTGAAAAAAGTGATGCAATTTGCAAGTCCACATGAATAAAATACATCAACACAATTCAGTTAGCGTTTGGTAAGACCTGTGTCGATGCACTTTACATTATGCATGCGGACGTGTCTGAATTAAAGCAATGCACTTTTTTACAGTGTGCTAAATCTCTTGGGTTTCGCAGGTGTCATATGATAGGAATATACTCCAATATAGGGAGGCAGCTATGGAGATACTACATCTGAACAAGAGCTACGGTACTCGTCAGGTGATGTTAAGGACTACAGCTCTATAAACTCTGACCGGCGTCCTTTTTTCCAGCCTCGCTAGGCCGGACTCTGAAGCTTTCAGTCCAAATAAATAAATAAATAAATAAATAAATCGCATGCAGTCACATACATAAAGGCTGTTACCCTGAAGCTACATTCAGCAAATTCAGAGCGAGTGGAGTGTAATGGCACAGCGGAGGAATAGATGAAGTGGAACAAGAGTGAGCATGGAAAGAAAAGAAAAACTCTAAAACACTAGTTCTGAACTATCACACTTCCCCTGGAAACCATAGGCTCCACTAGCAGATATCTCCTCAGTTTTCTTTTTTCATTTTTTTTTGTTAAAAAAAAGGCTTGTTAGTGCTACAAAGCAACCTGGAATGAACATGTTTCACAAGAAGGTTGTCTTTTCACAACACAAGTCCATGCAAGTCGTCTACTAGTTTTGTGCGAGAGCAAGTCTGATCTGGACTGCAAAACAAACAGTATGAAAAACGATGTGTAACACAGAGCTACGTGACATTCAGCTGCAGAGAGTGGAGTTCAGGCAAACTGTCTGTGATAGAGGCCACTTTAGTCCAGTTTAAGCAAAAGAGACCACAGATCAGCTGAGTCTTCTGGATAGCACTTTATTTGGATGGTCCACTGTAGATGCTTAACTTGCCTTTAACTCACTTTCAGCATCTATCAGGTTCAATGCTAAATTAGCGTCAATGCAAAACCTACTTTTAGCCCTAATGCTAACAGCAGTTCTAATCTCCCCAAGAAGACTTTCCCTTAACTTTTCCAACTATTTTAAGGTATTTTCCTCAAACTCACAACCTCTTTTACTCTCTATAATTTCAGCATGGATAATCACTAACAATAGTTAACTCAGCAAACTGAAAACAGCTTATGCTAGCTAACTCTGCTAACTGAGAATATCTAATGTTGGCTAACTGTGCTAACTGAAAATTTCTAATGCTAGCAAACTCTGCCTACTGAAAATTCATGATGCTAGCTAACTCTGCCTACTGAAAATGCCTAATGCCAACTCTGCCTACTGAAAATACCTATTGCTAGCAAACTCTGCTAACAGAAAATGCCTAATGCTAACTATGCTTAGTGAAAATACCTAATGCTAGCCAACTCTGGTAACTAAAATTATCTAATGGTAGCTATTTCTGCTAATTGAAAATATCTACTGCTAGCCAACTCTGCTAACTGAAAATACCTAATGCTAGCTAACTCCGCTAACTGAAAATATTTAATGTTAGCCAACTCTGCTAACTAAAAAAAGCAAATGTCATATTTGCTAACTGAAAATACCTAATTCTAGCTAATTCTGCTAAATGAAAATACTTGATGCTAGCAAACTCTGCCTACTGAAAATTCATGATGCCAGCTAACTCTGCTAACTGAAAATGCCTAATGCTACCTAACTCTGCTAACCGAAAATACCTAATGCTAGCCAATGCTGGTAACTGAAAAAAGCAAATGCCAACTCTGCTAGCTGAAAAAACTTAATGCTAGCTAACTTTGCTAACTGAAAACACCTAATGCTAGCAAACTAGCTAACTGAAAATAGTTAACTGTTGCTAAAGACATACAGAACCACCTAATGTACTGAAGTACCAACTGTTCATAGTTCAAACCTTTGCTGCTAACATATATAATATATAATGATTTTGGTGAAATGATTAAAATGTATCTTTCACTTCAAGGCCTGTTCTAATCCTAACACTGTTGAGAACCAGCTGAGTATGTTAACCATTTGAGCATCTGTCCCTTCATCTAAAGGGAACCATCCAAATAAAGCAGAAGCATCATTTGCTCCTCTACTGAGCCTTAGCCAGTGATTATCCTAAACCATTTCTACCACGTTTGTTAGGAAGGGCATGGTACGTCTGAGAGTGAATGGTGTGTTTGGACAGAGCACCGTGTTCTGGGATACGGCAGTAGAAGGGGAATCCAGAGCCAGCACTCCAAACAACCGGAGGAATAAACCTCACACAGGCGAGTTTTTAAGATTAGCGCTGTTCCACACATGGACAGTGGCAGGAAAATGTGCTGTCAGAGGCAGTGGCATTTTACAGCTGGGTTCAGTTGTGCTTCAGTGGTCTGACACAGAGGGGTTTGGCCCTCAGTGAATTTACAGAGATCTAAACTTGGTCAGTCAAGCATCACATGCTGGGTTTGTTTGGTATTCACCATTTTAGCTTACATTACGTCCAAATTAGGGGGTGTCAGCTTGGAAGCTTACTTCCATGGGCCTTGTTTTTGTATCCTTCAATGATATTTGACCCAGGCTTGCAAATCTGTTTAAAATACTTGGAACAGTATTGTACCTAAAATCAGCATCCTAAATATTAAGAGCCAGGGCAGTTTTGTAGCAAATACTGCATCTTAACGTTACAAAAGAATTTGGAATCATCCAGAATAAATAATTCTTCTTCCCAACACAAATTTGGGTCCCTTGTTCAACAATTTGCCAAAATAGCCATCCTCATTGTGGACACAACAAGAACTCCAGCATTTGACTTTAGAAAAACTTATCAAAGGTGGTCAAAACGGGGAAAAATCACATCACGGCTGGCTTTCTCTATTCCCCTCCATGTCCAGATGTGGTGCTTTGAACAACCCGTTATAAAACCACATATATGTGCTGTTAAATCTAACAGAGAAACAGACAACCTTCCTGCAGTTAGACCCTGAAAGTGGACTGGTACCCTAGTACTCTGAACTATGTGGTACCAACATAAAAATCAGTATGCAAAATCTCACAACTTTTTAAAAACAACACTGATTATTCATATATTGCACATACCGTTAATCTCACAGAGAAAAATATATATATATTGACAGAGATATGAATACTTATTACTAGATTTGTGAGTAAGTATTATTCTTACCTCATGCATGCTACAAGGAATGTTTACCATGCATGCACTACTACAGCAGTAGAATATTTCCTAGCTCATATAAAAGCTGTCTTAAGGAAGCATGTTTTTTTTCCCCCATACAGGTTTCACCAAAGTTCTCCAGCATAAGACTATGAGCAGAAATGCACCATGAAAATAGTCGGTTTGATACGTAAAATAATAATTTAGAAAATGCAAGTAATGTATAGTGGCAGTGAGTTGTCTCTTTGGTGACCTGTATCAGTGAGCTAGCTATTTGCACAGTAAAATATTAACCCCCACGTCCCATCTAACTCACCCGAACCCAAAAAGACGACTAAAACACAGCAGCCGTGATATGTTGTACGAACATGGAATGCTATGAAGTTCTTAAGCGGATGCTGGAAAAAGAGAATGGCATGCTGGAAGAGATGGAAAATGGGGAGATCATGCATTAGCTTATGTAGGGGCGAAGATATTAATGAGGAAGGACAGCAAGGCAACTTTCCGCAGTTACCCCTGCTTGCTTCTTAGGTTTCTGAGCTTGGCACAAGCCAGACAGAGAGAGAGAGAGAGGAGAAAAACAAGTTCCGTCATGCAAGCCAGGAGTGCACATTCTTACTGTACAACAACTGGAGGGGGGTCGTCAAGTGAAGGAAACAAAGAAATAAAACACCAAGCATGAATAAGTGATGCACTGAGAGACATTCGCTCCACTTTCCCACCCTATTCTGAGCTTAAAGCAAGCGATGGATGGAGAGGCTTGGGTTGTGGAGTATGTGCACCTACCCCCTCCCTTCTACTGAAATACACGGCCATGAAAGAGAAGGAAGGTTTTGTACAGAGCTAACAATCACTGTGGGCCAAACAGAGCAGGACTAAGGCCTTCTACCCAAAGGGTCCAGGAATGTAATATCCTTAAGTTTTCGCATGTGGAAAGCTGGCAGGACTGGCAGTAAGCTTAAGCGTGTTCGCAGAGAAACTCCGTTCTCCGATTTCGTTCTTCCTTCACAAATCATCCCCACAGACACAAATTGACCAAAGGTGTCCTAATTCTTTGGACTCGTTTCCATTGGAGAGGAAAAGTCCTCTACTAGTTGGCAGTTGGAGGGAGTAGAGGGTACAGGAACGTTCTCTCTATGCTACTGTTGTTTCTAGTGGTTTGGCTACGTTTTGGCTACCATTACAAGCAGGACGACTACTGAAACCGTCAACACAGATAAGACTAACTCCATGCAGACACTTAAAAACAGAGATGCAGGACACTACCCTCCAAACATGTTGGATGAGGGAGGGACAAGGTGGGGAAAGCAATGGAGACGTCCTTTCTATCAATGCTTCGCCTCCGATAGCTTCTTCTCTGATCTCCTCTCCAGATATCCTGGCAGTTTAGGCTCCTAAAGCCTTTAAAGCAAGGGTGGTTAATCCCTTCCCAAAAGGTTTTCTATTCTCCCTCCCCTAGAAAGACAAACCCAGGCAGCTATACGTCAGTGAGCATCTTGGTGATGTTTACATAGTTGGTGTTAGCAAGAGTACAGTTGCCAGTCTTGAGGTTCTCCTCACGGAAATCCTCATTGCTGTTGTTCACGGCTTCCTGGATCTCCATGTAGTCCGACTTGCTCATGGTCGAGCCACTGCGGCTCTTTTTCAAGTCTTCCGTAGAATCCATCTTGGGCACGCTAGTCACATTGAGGTATTGCGCCTGTTCTTCTCCTTCCGTCTCCCTGTGGTAGAAGTAGTTGAAGTTGGACACGATAACGGGTACAGGCAGTGCAATGGTCAACACTCCAGCAATGGCGCACAAGGACCCTACAATCTTGCCTCCGATGGTTGTGGGTACCATGTCTCCATATCCTACAGTTGTCATGGAGACCACCGCCCACCAGAAGGCATCGGGGATGCTAACAAACTGTGAGTCTGCTTCGTCTGCCTCGGCGAAATACACAGCACTGGAGAACAGGATGACTCCGATGAAGAGGAAGAAGATCAGCAGCCCAAGTTCCCTCATGCTAGCCTTGAGTGTCTGGCCCAGAATCTGCAAGCCTTTGGAGTGCCGAGACAGCTTGAAGATCCTGAAGACTCGCACCAGCCTGATGACCCGCAGAATGGCGAGGGACATGGCCTGCTGCCCCTGCTGGCCGTCTTCTGGGCTCTCAGCTAGTTCAGTGCCCAGGGTAATGAAGTAAGGGATAATGGCCACAATGTCAATGATGTTCATGATGTTCACAAAGAACCCTGCTTTGCTGGGACAGGCAAAGAAGCGGACCAGGAACTCAAAGGAGAACCAAATGATACAGAGTGTCTCCAGGATGAAGAAGGGGTCAGTGAAGGAGGTGGATGTGTAGCTGGCTGTGGAGTTGGAATTGACCATGTGGGCTTTCTGCATGTCCATGTCCTCATTGCGAAAAATGGGCAGTGTCTCTAGACAGAAACTGACGATGGATATGAGGATGACCATGACAGAGATGATGGCGATTATCCGGGCTGGGCCTGAACTCTCCGGATACTCGAAAAGCAGCCACACCTGCCTCTGAAACTCGTTCTCCGGCAGGGGTTTCTCTTCTTCTTTGATGAAACCCTCGTCCTCCCTAAATATCTCGATGGCTTCCTCCCCAAGCTCATAGAAGCGGATCTCCTCAGAGAAAATATCCAATGTTACGTTGACTGGCCGCCTCAACCTCCCTCCAGACTGATAGTAGTAGAGAATGGCGTCAAAGCTGGGCCGGTTCCTGTCGAAGAAGTACTCGTTCCTAAGTGGGTCGAAGTAGCGCATTCTCTTTTTTGGATCCCCAAGCAAAGTGTCTGGGAACTGCGACAGAGTTTTGAGTTGTGTCTCGAACCGCAGGCCCGAGATGTTGATGACCACCCTCTCGCAGCACTCATGGTCCGGTTCTGGGTCATAAACATCCTGCGGCTGACCAGGGTGAGCGGCCGCTTCATCTACAGGGTCACCGGTCGCAACGGTCATGCTGTGTCTGAGACGAGTGTAGAACAGGGAGGGGAAGGTAGAATATGCCTTCTCACTCTTTCTTGCACTTCAGGTAAGCATCCAGGCTTAACTACAAGAACCAAAAAGAGAGAAAAATAATGGTTATAAAATGCTCTTTACACAAGCACTCCAAAGGCTCTTTGTGTTATGCCTCAATTTATTTTTGATCCAGCATTTGTTTATTTATTTATGAGCTTATTTAAACATCTATCATCTGATTCTTTCTTAATTTTTTCCAAATTCATGCTGAAATGACCTCCAACTCCACAGCACTCCAAATGAGTTCATGCGTCTTATATTATCTATAAAAGATGAAGCAGTCCGACGTCTAATTCTGCTGGGATACCCTGTGTTTGCTTTTATCTGTCTGCAAGATCAATACTCTCCTTGGTAAAAATGTATCATTCCTTTCAGGGTTCAATTATGCACTGTAAAACCTAATCGTACTCTGAGTGCCCTACAATCGAATTGGACCAAAACACTCCCAGCATGCATTAGCACCGGAGGTTTGAATATCACTGATCACAGGCTTTTGCTATTCTGAGTGGAGGCAGGGAATATGATGCAGGACAGTATGTACTGCTAGCTGGTGTTGCTACTTAAATCAGCTCTAACGTGGATCAAAGGGAGGGGTCCACAACACTTTACAGACGTTCAAAGCATCCTGTATTATCACTACCAGCACTCATAACACATTATATACATTTACAAAGCCCAAGAGGCATTCATAACATGCTAGAGACAGTTACAACACAACTGCTGGCATTCATAACTATAAACACTCATTAAACATTAGAGACATTCATAGCATACTTGCAAAACACAGTTATTTACAACACACTACAATAGCACTACTGACATTCACAACACACTATGAACACATTTTGGATATCTATATCACACTATTTTTGTCACTGAGGATGCAAATATCATTTAACACCCTTCACTTAAATATGGTCTTAATACACTACATTCAAAACATGTTGCAGACATTTAGGACACACTACATTATCATTACTGGAATTCAAAACAAACTATAGACATTCAAGGCACACTACATACATCCATAACACACTGTATTATCACTACTGGCAATAACAACACCCTATGTTATCACTACAGACATTGATAACACGCTATAGATACTATCTTTATATGCTATTTTTATTGTTAAAGATGCAAAAGCTATATTATACCCCTTGCAAAGATTTTACAGCGTCTTAATACACTATGATTATAACATTTGCAGTATAGTATATCATCACTACTGGCATTAATAAGACAATATACATCAATAACAGCCTATGTTATCACTACTGCCATTCATAACACATTAAAAGTATGTTTAGTACAGACACACTACAGACACTACGGGGAAAACACTAAAGATGTATATAACACAGTATATTATCACTGTTGACATTCATAACACATTCTAAACATTCAGACACTTACAAAACAATATAACATTATATTATATTAAAACTACTGGCCTTCATAACACATTAAAAACATTCATAACCCACTACATACACTTACAAGAAATACAAACATTACATTATATTAAAAACATAGGCCAAAACACTACTATATAGATAGTATACTACAGTACATTATCTATATTATCAGTGTTGGCATTCATAAAGCACTATGGACATTAACAACACCCTGTTTTATCACTACTAACATTCATAACACTATGGATATTGATAACTCGACAGACACAAGACATTACACACACCCATATATCATCACTTTTGGCATTTATAACATACTATACACAGTTACAACACACTATAATACCACTACTGCCATTAATAACATTATAGACACAATTTGTACATCTATAATGCTGTTTTTGTCACTGAGGATGCAAAGGTTATTTTATACTTCTTGCAAAAATGCTATATAGTCTTAATACACTATGTTCATAACAGAGCATTCCGAACACACTATATACATCACCCCATGCTATCACTATTGATGCAATTTAGACACTACAGACACTACAGACAGCCATATATAATCACTACTGGTATTTATAATATATGACTTCAATTCCAAAAAAATTGGGATGCTGTGTAAAATGTAAATGAATGTAAATAAAAACAGAATGCAATGGTTTGCAAATCTCATAGACCCATATTTTATTCACAAAAGAAAATTGAACACATATTAGATGTTCAAAGTGAGAAATTTACCATTTCATGAAAAACATTAACTCATTTAGAACTTGATGGCAGCAACGCATCTCAAAAAAGTTGAGACGGGGCAACAAAAGGGTGGAAAAGTAAGTGGTACTAATAAAAACCAGCTAGAGGAGCAATTTGCAACTAACTCACATTACTGGGTATAAAAAGAGCATTTTAGAGAGGCAGAGTCTCTCGGTAGCAAAGATGGGCAGAGGTTCACCAATCTACAAAAACTGGAGAGGAAAATGTTCCTCAACGTAAAATTGCGAAGACTTTGGATGTCCCACCATCTACAGTACATAATATCATCAAAAGATTCAGAGAATCTGATGAAATCCCTGTATGCAAGGGTCAAGGTCGACGGTCAATATTGGATGATTGGGATCTTCGGGCCATCAGGCGGCACTGCATTAAAAACATAATTCTGTACTGGAAATTACTGCATGGGCTCAGGAACACTTCCAGAAAGCACTGTCTGTGAACACAGTTCGCCGTGCAATCCACAAATGCAAGTTAAAGCTGTATCATGCAAAGAAGAAGCCATATATCAACACAATCCAGAAACTCTGCCGTCTTCTCTGGGCTGGAAGGAAAATTTCTTTTTGGAAACCGCAGACATTGTGTCCTGTGGACTCCAGGGGAGAGGGACCATCCAGCTTGTTATCAGTGCACAGTTCAAAAGCCTGCATCTCGGATGGTTTGGGGTTGCATTAGTGCCTATGGTGAGGGCAGCACACACATCCAGAAAGACACTATCAATGCTAAACAGGATATAGAGGTCTTAGAACAACATATGCTCCCATCCAGACAACGTCTCAGAAGAAGAGTCCGGTTGCTGAATTGGCAGTCCAGTAGAAAACATTTGGCGCAAAGAAAAATCCGGCAAAGAAGACCCAGGACTGTTGAGCAGCTAGAATTCTACAAGAGGCAAAAATGGGGCAACATTTCTCTCCCAAAACTCCAGCAATTGGTCTCCTCACTTCCCAGACGTTTACAGACTGCTGTTTAAAGAGGAAGGATTGCTACACAATGGTAGACATGGCCCTGTCCCAACTTTTTTGAGATGTGTTGCTGCCATCAAGTTCTAAATGAGTTAATATTTGAAATGGTAGAATGTCTCACTCTTAACATCTGATATGTGTTCTATGTTCTATTGTGAATAAAATATGGGTCTATGAGATTTGAAAATCATTGCATTCTGTTTTTATTTGCATTTATTTACATTTTACACAGCGTCCCAACTTTTTTGGAATTGAGGTTGTACTACAGACACTGACAACACCCTGTGTTATCACAACTGCCGTTCATAACACACTGCAGACACTATTTGTACATCTATAATGGTCTTTTTGTCACTGAGAATGCAAAAACTATTTTACACCTCTACCAAAATGTGACATAGCCTTAATACACAATGTGCAACACACTATTTTATCAGTATTGGCCTTCATAACACACTATAGATATGCATAGCACATTAAGGACAACTGCAAAACACTACAGATGTACATTACACATTATATTATCACTACTGGCAGCCGTAACACATTCTAAACATTCATAACAACAACGCTACAGACATTCATAAAACACTATAGACACTATTTGTACATCTGTAAAGCTATTTTGTCACTTAGCCTAGCCAAAAAATTGACATGTTCTTAATACACTACATTCACAACAGAGCATTCATAACACATTATAGACATCAATAACAGCCTATGTTATCACTACTGGCATTCATAACACATTCTAAACAATAATACCACACTACAAACACATTATAAAACAACACAAACATTACATTATATAATCACTATTGGCCTTCATAACACATTACAAACATTTATAACACACTATAGACATTAATAACAGCCTATGTTATCACTACTGGCATTCATAACACATTCTAAACAAAAATAATACCACACTACAGACACTTACCAAACAACACAAATATTATGTTATATAATCACTTTTGGCCTTCATGACACTTTAAAAACATTTATAACACACTGTATACATCAATAACAGCCTATATTATCACTACTGGCATTCATAACACAGTATAGATATTTATAGCACACTACAGACACTTGCAAAACACTAAACATGCACATAACACAGTATATTATCACTATTACCATTCATAACATATTCTAAACATTCATAATATACAAAAGATATTCATTCATACGACATTATAAACACAAAATACTACAGGAATCCATTACACACTACTGGCATTCAGAATGCACTAGGGACATTCACAGCACCCTATGTCATCACTACTAGCATTCATAACACACTATGGATATTCATAATACACTACAGACACAAGACACCATATATCATCACTGCTGGCATTCATAATGTTCTATAAACACTGACAACACCCCCATATTATCACTGCTACAATTCATAACACACTATAGACACTGTTTTTATATCTATATTACATTATGTTTCGCACTAAGGATGCAAAAGCCAATCAATGTCGATAGGAAAAAATCAGGTATGGTTTTAGTGACTGTGTGATAAAGACAGAGTGTGAGGAACATGCAGACTGAGCACTGCAGCAGAGCAACTCCAGCGTTCGCCTGTAATGCATGAATGAGTCTTCCTGATCCAGACTCACCTCTGAACTGCAGCAGTGTCTGACCACACGGGGCAAATCAGCTCCCACCATCTGCACCTGCTGGGGCAGTTTGGGCTCTTTCCAGGGGAAAATATTCCTCTCCCCTCGCTCTGTCTCTCTCTCCTCGCTCTCCTGCTCTCGCTCTCTCTCTCCCTCGCGCTCCTCTGCTGCAGTGCTGCTGATCCGCCCAAACACTCCCGCTGCAGCATGCGCCGGCCCAGAGAAAACAGCACGGCCAGCTTTCACCTGTCCCTCCGCACCTGTCCGTCCACACCTGTCCTTCTGCACCTGCCCTTCTTCACTCGTCCGTCATGTCCATCACTTTCTACGGACAAAACGTGCAGTGCCCTCCCTCACCGGACACCTGAGTATGAGGAGTGGAGGGGAGAGAGAGTGGATATTGAGAGAAAGTAGAAAAGGTAAGAGAGAGATTATGATAGAGAAGGAAAAAACAGAGAAAGAATAGGATAGAGAAGAAGAAAAGAAAGAGAGAGAGAATAAGAGAGGGAGAGAAAGAGGAAGAGAGAAAGAGAACATACACAGAGAGAGAAAAAATGGGAAGGAGAGGTAGGGAAGGGAGACAGAAAATAGTAGAAGAGGTAACAGAGGTTATGGTAGAGAAGGAAAAAAGAGCGAGGATAGAGAAGAAGAAGAGGGGTAAAGGTGGGGGGGAGGGTAGAGAAAAAAGATGGAAAGAAAGTTGGAGACAGGTAGAACAGATAGAGAGAAAGAGAAAGAGAGATGTATAAGAGATGGAGAGAGAGAGAGAGCGGTAGCACAGATATGCAGAGAGAAAAAGAAAGGAGTACGACAGAAAGGTAAGATAGAGAAAAAAGGGGGGAATAAGAGAGAGAATAAGATGGGAGGAAAGAGGAAAGAGAGAGAGGGAGAGGGGGAGGGGGAGAGAGAGAGAGAGAGAGAGAGAGAGAGAGAGAGAGAGAGAGAGATGCTGTAACAGTGCTGTGTGGGAGGATGCTGAGCTCAGCGCCTCCAGGATCTCTCCTCATCACACATATCTGCAAAGGAAGGATGAAGAGAGGGGGCAAGGAGGGCAAGAAAGGGAAAAATGGGGGTGTAGAGAGGAAGGTAGGGGCAGTTTTCTGCCCTGTTCTGCCCCAGGTAGGAGCCTAGTGGGGGTTAAATGACAAGAAAGGGGCAACACGGTGGAATCTGCTGATAGGTCCCACCTACAGAGCAGGCTGGGTGAAATGCGCAGTGCAGCAGGGCTTGGTGGGGCGGGGGGGGTACTCGCGTGGACTCGCGTGGATTTGCCCTCCGGCGCTTTTAGGATGGGGCAAATCCACGACGAGCCCTGGTGCACTGCGCATTTCACCTCCGCGCGCTCTGGAGGGGGCAGATACGTAGATTTGGTGAAGAAAGACCAAACCGAGCACTACAGCAGCACAGCAAAGCATGCAAAAAACACACATACACATCTCTCTCTCTCTCTCTGTTTCTATGTCTCTTTCTCTCTCTCTTTGCATGCTCTTTTCTCTTACTCGTTCTCCTCCTGCGCTCCTCTCGTTGCTCCTCATCGTTCTCTGCTGGTTCGGGCGGCAGTTGGGCGCTGCTCCCTTCCTGCCCCTCCCCACCGGCAGGGGGGGCCATTTAAAGGAGCCGCGCTGCTGTTTTTATTAGGAAAGCTGGAAAAGTTTTTCTGTTTCTTTCCTGTTTTTTCTTCTCTTTTTATTTTTTCTTTTCTAAACGGTGTATTTGTGCACACTATAATATATAATACATTTGGTTTGTTTTTTTTTCTTATGTTTTTGCACCGTATTGCCTTATTTGTGTGCATAAATATAATATTTTGACTACATTTACTGTATTTATTTTGCTTTAATGCATTGTATGCTGTACTTTCATAAATTTGTTTATTACTTTCACATTTTGTAATTTTTACATTTTATTTATATTTCTACATTTTGTTCAGTTCTTTCTTGTTTTATTGTATTTGTTTTATTTTGTGTACTGTACTTTTAATATTTCTAACAGCCAGTTGATGCAGGAAAATATCCTCAAAAGACTTTTATTTCAGTTTTTAGTTTTGATCAATATTTTGTTGGATCATTCAAGGATCCCATTCAGCCTACTGCAGTTTAGCCCCGCCCATTCAGCCTACAGCAGTTTAGCCCTGCCCATTCAGTTTACAGCAGTTTAGCCCTGCCCATTCAGCCTACAGCAGTTTAGCTCCACCCATTCAGCCTACAGCAGTTTAGCCCTGCCCATTCAGCCTACAGCAGTTTAGCCCCACCCATTCAGCCTGCAGCAGTTTAGCCCTGCCCATTCAGCCTACAGCAGTTTAGCCCTGCCCATTCAGCCTACAGCAGTTTAGCTCCACTCATTCAGCCTACAGCAGTTTAGCCCTGCCCATTCAGCCTACTGCAGTTTAGCCCTGCCCATTCAGCCTACAGCAGTTTAGCTCCACCCTTTCAGCCTACAGCAATTTAGCCCTGCCCATTCAGCCTACAACAGTTTAGCTCCACCCTTTCAGCCTACAGCAGTTTAGCCCTGCCCATTCAGCCTACAACAGTTTAGCCCTGCCCAGTGTTTCAGCCTGTACATCGTTTTAAACTAGGCACAATATAAGGCAGCCAATTAGAACAGAGCTCGTTTACATGTATCAGTAGCAAAAAAAATTACTTTCTAATTCTGTCACAGAAATTAATAAAAAAAAAAATAATAATAATAAAAAAAGCCATGGAGGAACCCCTCTGCATAATATAGTAACCACACAAACATTCGTCCATCTACCAGCATCTCAATCTCTCCACACATCTCACACACAGGGTTTTTCTGAGGAGCGTTATTTATGAGGTAAGCAGGTCATTATGATGAGTGCACACAGCTGCACTGCTGCACTGCATTAGTCTGGCTTTATTACAGCTGCTGAGATCAGGACTTTCTCTGATCATCTGGATAGTAACAGAATGAGATCAGGAAACAGGAACTCCACTGGAGGAACACATAGGGACAGGGTGCATGATTGCACAGGACAAACCCTGCTGTATTTAAGCTCTGCAAGTGTATTTCCTTCCTTATTTTCTTGTTAAGTTTTGGTTGGAAACAAAATTTTTAAACGACCAACTGAAAATTATCCAATCAGAATTTTTACTCATTTTCTTCAAAACAATGGGATCTAACTGCTCACCATGGGGCCATGAGGGACAGGGATACAGTCTCACTTCCTGCTCTAAAATGCAGGGGCATGGCATAATAAGCTCCACCTACAGACTAAAACTGTGTGTTTCAGTAGTGACATGAGCATTTTTTGAATAAAGCTTTTCTATTTAAACACGTTAAATCAAAATCTTAAACTTAAAAAAGATCTTAAAAAAGATCTTAAAAATTGAAAAAAGTGTAAATTTATGGTTATTTCTGGTTTGGGACAGACTCCTCCTAATAGCAAATACCTTATAAATGATTATTTTTTAATATATTTGGCTCATTATGAATGCCTCATGTTTAAATAGATCAGAACATAATCACTTTAAATATCTATAGCTGCTTTTCCACTGCACGGTACCCGGCTCTACTTGACTCTACTTGCTTTTGGCACCAGCTATTTTCTGCTGCAGATATAGCGCCCACTCAACGTAGTTGGTCATCATAGCAACCCTACATGAAGCTGCCGTGACATGAAGGAGACAAATGTTGTTCATAGGGAGGCAAGACAAAATACTGCTGAAAAAAGCATAAGAGTTTGGGAAAACTACATCAGAGTTTAGACGACAACCTTTGTTGCTCAAAGGTGGCACAAGAGCCTACACTAACCTGGTAGTTAACATTAGCATATGTGTTTAGGGATTCTTTCCATCCAATCAGCAGTCTGCAGTTTTTTACGCCACCTTTTGGTATGGGCTTAGCTTGCTTGCAACCAGTTTTGATACCAAAAATATTACCAGGTACCAGATTGCCTAAAACCAAAAAAGGCGAGTCACCTTGAGTCGAGCCGTAGCATGCATTGAAAAAGCTGCTTACAAGTACAAGTAAAGTTGTGGTGACTGATCCACTCGCACCAGCGCAACACACATTAACACGCCACCATGTCAGTGTCACTGCAGTGCTGAGAATGACCCACCACCCAAATAATACCTGCCCTGTATGTGGGGGTCCTGACCACTGAAGAACAGGGTAGCAAAGTATGCAGAGAAACAGATGGACTACAGTCTGTAACTGTGGAACTACAAAATGAAACTATATGGGCAGTGGAGCTGATAAAATGGAAAGTGAGTGTAGATGTATATGACTGATCATTTGGTTCAAATATAAATACCTCTTAAAACACCTGGAGTCTGGAGCTGTGGTTGGTCAAGACTCACACAGCACACATTACCAACTGTGCTAATTTGCATACCACAGTGTTCTGTTTTATCAGCACTGCAAAGACCAACATCTCAGTAAGCGGTGCATTGAGCAGGTCTACATTAATCCTGTTTAATCAATATCAGAGTGCTCTGTTTTTCTTCTCTCCTCTCCTCTGTGTCCTCTACAATCACTGACTCAGAGATGTTCTTCCTTCTTCACCCTCTGACCTCCATCTATTTCACAAACCACCTGAACCAGCAGACTGCCTTCATCTCTCTGCCTGTCATAAACTGATAAACAAGGACAAAAACAAGGGTTCTCTGGAGAGATGTCTTAGAAGAGCTATCTTTGGCTTTCTGAAGAACCTTTCCAGATAATTCCCCTAAAGCAAACACTATGAAAGATTTGGGGTTTTGGAGCCCTCTCTGATGGAAGTATGTAATTGCATGCAACGATGCAACGTGCATAAAAACATTTAAAACAACGTACGATGTGGTCTGAAAATCTATCTATCTATCTATCTATCTATCTATCTATCTATGTATTTCTTAATCAATATTAAATAATTGCCTACTCCATGAATTAGTTTTACTATTAATATTAAAATGTACTATAATAATTGCAATTATATTACAATTAATATTAACAGTAATACAATGGTAATTGTTTAAAATTATAATTATTGCCAAAATATTTACCTGTGTATTGAATTAATTCATATTAAAATTAATTAATATTACAATTTTAAAATACATTGTAATGAATGCAATTATATTACAGTTGATGTTAGTGTTATTAATATATACAGCAATAATACTTAAACTTAAACCTACCAAAAGCCACTAATTGTGTTGATGCATTTTTTATTCCATGTAGAAATTATGGGCACATTTGAACCATGTAAACAAACGTATGTCCAAGAACCAGCCAAGAACCATTTAGGAACCTTTATTTTTCTGTGTGTATGTGCTCCAGGCTCTGTGTGTTTGAGGTTATGTTCTGTATGCAGTCTGAATGGTCATTGATTTTGAATGAGATTTCAGCTCCCATTTTCTCCATCAGTGGAAAAATCCATAAAAGTCCCGATTAAGCTCCATCACCATCACTGCTGCTGCTGCTGTATTTTTTTTTTTTGGGAAGGACGAGTGTCTTTGATGGAGACACTCCGTCAAAGTTCTGCTCACACTGGAGTTACTGTAAAAAAGAGAAGAATTTTAAAAAATTCTGCATAATTAAATGCTTAAGATGTAAGCATTGAGTCTGAGTCGTTCAGAGTGGTTTGGTGTGAAATGTTCTGTTCTAGAGTCAGAATTGATCACATTAGTGGTGATAGGAACCAGACGTCCACTTCTAAAAGCTCCCTCACAGAAAGTTATTACATGAAATGGTTATGAATACACTGCCTGATGACTGAGACATTGTTTTACGATAGTTTTGAGAATACTGTAGTCTTAAACTCTGTTCATGGTGGAGGGATACATAATAGGCAGGGTGTTGTGAGGCTATGTAGTTCCCAAAGAAGACTTATTATTTCAGATTTTACACTATTTTCCCATCATCAACATTACATATAAAACTCAGAAGACATGTATAGGTTCACTGGTGGTTATGGATAGTAAATAAAATGGCTGTATTTGTGTTGTAGTCATGGCGACCCCTGGTTCCTATCACCACCACTGTAAAGAAAACTGAACCATTTCACTCTAAACCACTCTTAATGACTCTGTTTACAACTCATGCACTGACTTACGGAGGAATTTTGGAAAATTGGCAGAATTCTACCCTGATGTCAATCTGACACTGAAGGAATAGCACTTGAAGACGTTATTTAATTTTAACATTGGAGCTACAAGGCTAATGTAGCTAACAAGTAATAGACACTTTTAGACCACCAATTAGCATTGTGCTAACTGTAAGTAATGTCTGACAGCACATCATTACATTGTTTGTGGGAAACTGAGCTTTCTTTTGATGCAGCTCTACAGATGTGAATGTGAATGTGGACGTGAACATGGTGCTAGATATGGCTTGTTCTGGCACATATTAAGCCCCACTTTTCGCAACAAAAAGTTCTTTATAGTACCAAACAGTAGTGGGTTTATTGTTCCAACAATAGTGGAACTTTTTTGGTGTTATGTAAAACCATTTAGGACCATATAGAGCAGATTTTCAGTCATAAAGAAGAAACGTCTAAGCATTCAAAGAACCATTGATACATTCCATGAATCAACCAAACACCATTTGCAGGATTCAATGGTGAAATGGTTCTTCTATTG